GAGTGGAGGAGCACTCCGTAGATGAGGGACACAACACCGCCGATGTGTGTCATCTGAAACGTGAGCATCAGTTGTGTGTCGTCGTCGGCGAGACGGGCGCCGAACCTGTGCTCCACTCGAAGTGCCATCAGTTTGGAGAGTGAGCTGAACAGCGAGACAACATTTCTCAGGCATTGTGTCAGCTCCGGGTTGTCGTCGACGGGGCCCCGAGTGTTGGCCATCATTAGCGACAGCTTATCAATCATTCCGACCGATACTATATAACTGTTGGCATAAAGTTAACCATTAATTGTCTTATAACTGATTCAGTGATCTGTTTTACACAATACCTGATCACGTCTTGAATGATGTGATTGAAGGCCAGACAATCGTCGGTACTGTCGGTGAGCGTCGAGTAGTGGCCGTGAAGTGTGTCAAAAATGGTGGACAGAGTCGACACAGGGCTCCGACCACTATATCGCATGTCTGGGCAGCGGTTCTGCCACTACTGCTACCCATGAGAGTCGTGTCCAATAGCTATGTATTAAACGGAAAACAAAAGGTAAAAACACAGACAAAGACGCAGACAATCGGGCCATACATTGATCCGATGGCAGAGAATGTCCAACAAATCGATCACGTGTTGTGATTGGAGGACATAGTCGGCCACATCCAAGTGCTGACCGCAGACCAGTTCGTAAAGTTCGGCCAACTTAGCGTTGGACCGGTCGGTGAGTGATGTGGGCTTCTCTCGGGTGCCGTTCATTATTCGGGACAACATTTTGGTCAACAATTGGACGCCATTTAGCGAATGAAAGTACAGGGAATCGGCGGCACCGGTGCCACCACTAGACGGACGGCCACTGTTGATACGGAACAGTTTCTCCAACTCATTGAGATTACGTTCCAGACTGTGAGTCATGTTTGTCGGCCAGTGGCCAGTGATTTGGTTGTCGGCGCTCAGAGCTGACAAGTCCTGCGAAAACAATACAAAACCATACAATGAATGGCGAACACAAGCACTGGAACCGCTATCCATACAAACCTTAAACAATTTCTTGATTTTACTTTTGTTGGGCGTCTGTACTGTCTTTCCGGTGACCACTTTGGGGCCCGAATTGGCCTCGAATTGTGCCGCTTTGGCCGCCAGGCGTTGCTTCAACTTCGTGCTCCGCTTACGGGCCAAGTATACGATAAGAATAAGGTTTTGTTGTGATATGATTATGTTTTATTGTTGGTGTTTCATTATTTAGCATTTATAATATCAAATCAGTCATATTGGTTATATCACAACATAAACTGCATAAACTATAGCGCTTTATAATGTAATTTTAGATAATTAGTTACATTAGTAACGCTGCAATTTTTTTGACGCTAACAGCTGTAACAGTCTCTACGAAACCCAATCGCTATACCATTTGGTTTCACTTTGACTTATAAGTCATTATGTATGCGATTATTGCCGCTCTGGTGGCAAATTCCGATCTAGTTTTCGAACACAACTTTCACGTAAAATGAGTCAATTTTTTGTGTCAAAATCGTAAATTTTTTTCAATTTTTTTCTTTGTTTTTTTCATTATTCTCATCACAACTCAGTTGGAAATAAACTTTATTTTGATTAAAATTGTTTAAATTGTTATAAAATGACCATAGTACTTATAATTATAGCTAATACTAAGTCTATGGGGAATTTGTGTCATTAGGATTTACATTTTGGCCACAATTAGCTTGTATATAAATGTAATTTTGCTATAAATTATGGTTATGATAATATTAATTAACAAAATAATCAATTGATAACGTGGTTACTTTAATTTGCATGGTGAAAATGCATTTTTTCTAAAGGTTCCCAGACTTCCAGAAATGTCCTGGATTATCCAGGTAATGACTATAACTTGACTATAACGAGAGTTAATTATAAAAAATATAATTGTTTTTCTTGCCATGTTAAATATTTTTTGTGACATTTGAGCATGGTGAATTAATTTGTAAATATAGCTATAGTTATCTATTATCACAAAACAAAAAGCAATTGTCAACAAAACCATTGATTTCTTTTTACATATAATTATTAATTATATATTTATTGTACAATAAATTATAATAATTTACATAAAAATTAAAACAAAAAACTCTTTTACTAAGGTTCCTAAACATTTTTTGTAATTACTAAAGCTGTTCAGAATATGTTTTTAAATATATTTACCGGTTAAAGATATATGTTTGGGACTTAGGGGGCAAACGAATTACATAATAAGGGCCATTTTAACAAAGTTTTATTTTACATATAAATACATATTTGACTTTTAAATAAATATAAATAAATATTTGGTCATAAAGCATAAAAATCATTAATTTACTTGTAATTCATGACTTTAAATGTTTAAATATGTATTAAATGGTAAAGTAATTTCTAAAAGTTGTTTATAAATGAATCAAAACGACAATAAATAATTGTATGACATTATGTAATACATTATGATGATATAGAATATCATTAGTTTGACTTGGAAACAAGTGTTATAATTTAAATATATACTATGAGTTTAATTAAACTTATTTAAACAGGATTTAAAAGGCTACCGAACATTTCTAACATAATATTCTGTTATTTTGTCCATAGAATACATTAATTAGAATTTATATTGAATATTGAGATTTATAAATAAATATTTAAGTAAATATTTGACCCTTTTTTAGTAAATATATAAGCAAATATTTGACCATTTTAAATAAATATTATATAACATATTTGACCAAGAATAAATACATATTCTGAACAGCTTTAGTAATTACATTTAATCAAATACCATTAATACTATATCCACAGCATTGACACTCACACACTCCTCCCAACCCTCACACCCCTCCCTCACTAACCCATTAAACCCCCCATCAGTGCTATTAATACTATTCAAAGCGCTGGAAAAGAGTTACAAATCAATTAAAAACAGTACAAACACTACAAAAAACTACACACAAACCCCTCCAACACCTCCCAAACGCCTCCCATAGGGTGCCCACCAATGGGTGCTTACTTTCTTGAAGATACACTTAAACTTCTGTGCCTTCTCTTCGAGGTACTTCTCGCGCACCTCCTGTGCTTTGGCCAACTTCTCCTCGTGTTTTTTAATGGACTCCGTGGGCGAGGCGTTACGCTTACGGGAAGGGCTCGACAGCTACTCGTGTATCTTCAGCGCCCGGCCCGGCGTCCGCAGCGAATCGGTCGACTCATACATCGGGTCCCACGCGTCGGTCGTCTGTACGGCGGCTGTGACGGCGTAAACGGTGCCGTCGGCCGTGGTTTTCACAGCCGAGTCCGTGTCGTCCATAATAATCACTTTCGGTGGCGACACTTTGTATCGCTGTCGGCCCCGACCGACCACTTCCCACCCGTCAGCGTCTTTCATCGACCGCTTGTGCTTAGCGTTATTGGCGGCGATTGTTGGTCGCAGATTTGTGGCCACTTTTGCCGTTATTATTATTACTAATGTTGTTATTGTTGTTCCCATTTCTCGGCGACAATATGTTGGACTGACTTCTGGCCAAACCCTCAGTGAACGCCATATTGTTTTTGTGATTTTTATTGCTATTATTATAATTATTGGTGTTGTTATTCGTATCGCAATTGCGGACACTCTTCGCCCGCCAACTGTTCGTTTCTCTTGCAAACGTCTTGTTCATCACCGGAACGGTTCCCTTAACCTCTTGTTTACAATTATTATAATTACCATTAGTTAATTGATTATTAGTTTTATTATTATTATTAATGAAAGACAAATCGGGTGTCGAGACAACTGTGCGCTTAAGACTCCCGGCATTGTTAGCAAAGGAGCCGCTCTTTGGCGGTGAAACCGGTTGAGTG